ATCATTTCTGTATTGATTCAATGCAAAATAGCAATTCATGGTTGCGATGAAGCAGTTTTTCCAACATTACTACACTTGACTTTACTTCGACTTCATTGAAATTCGGAATTCATACTTCTTCATCCCGTCCCATCCGATCGCCATCCACTCAGTGACAATGAATAATGATGATGATGCTCATTTGGCACCCATTCTTAATAAGCTAAATATGATTTAAGTATAACTAGATCTAGATCTAACTTTAATAATCCAGATGAAACAAGACATGACTCCCCCGAACTTGATATAGCTATCTATTTTTATGATTATATGTGAAAGCATCCTTGTATAAAAGTTAAACTGCACAAAACAAGTGGTCCAGCGTGTAGGTTGCCCACTGTTTTGAGACTTTGAATTTGTGATCGTTATCACTCTCTGCTCTTACTCTCTTCTATTTCTACTCTTCTTTGTATCAAGTCACAATGTTACTCTGCCGGTTTGACGTGTTACTGAAAACCCCTGAAAACTCGCAAAACCCCCCAAACACCCAACCACCGAAAATACCTTAAACCCTAGAAAATATTGATAACTCCCACAAGGACCAAGAGGTCGCCGCTACATGGAAGTGACTCCCCCGAGAAAAGGAGAACAAACTCTTCATTGCGTACAATGACCAGAACCTGAGCAAACACAACAAGAAGTTAGCCAGGCAGTATAAGGATGACTATGGCGCCTGGGACTCAAAGGGAGGCACCAACAAAATCTTCTACCTCCTGTAACCCGACTGATGAAGGTGGTCCTTAAAGAGAACAAGTACTGCCTACCCCGTCGTAAAGACAAAATGATGATCTACGTGCCCCTTGAACCACAGCCATCGCCAGAATCCATCTTGACGGTGCACAGACATTGCACACACCACATTTTGGACAAGAAGTATGAGAAGCGGGTGACCTGTGTTGAGGGAGCTGTGACCTGCAGCCAGGCTCTTCACAAGTACAAGGGCCCATTTGCTGGTAGTGCATCTCACGGCGTGCAGAAGACACCACCAGTGCCAAATTCCAATGCCTCAAGCCACGTGTGCTCCAGCTGGTGAAGGAGCAGCTGAAATCTAAGCGGGTACAGGAGGTCTACAGCCTGGGAGACCTCATTGATTGTACAAGGAATCTAAGGCAAGTGAGAGATTTATGAAGCATAGAATTTAGAAAAAAGAACAAAACTGCAATCGGAGGGACCTTTGCAATGTGACTCTGATTTCATCTGCCTGCTATTCCGGAGACCAGGCAAGGTTCCCTGTGCAATTTTGTACACTGATGAGCAGGTGGCTGACCTGAAGTGCTTCTGTGGTTCGTCCGGAGTGACCTTTTTGTAACTGTGACAGTCTTCTTCAAGAACCTGGCTGTTACCCGTTGCAGTACAAAGGACTACCCACTGATGATCGGACCAATCTTCCTGCTCGCTAACGGGGACAAGTAAACGTTTTTCTGTTTTTCCAACACTTCGCTGGACTGTTGGGGAAAACCAGTTCTCGTGTGGTAGTTAGCAGCAATGAGAAGGCCTTGTGAGCTGCCACGGCTGAGGCCATGCCATCTGCTATGCAGCAAAGTTGTGTTCGACATCTAAAGAACAATGCGGACATGTTTCTACAGGACAAGGTGGGAGTCGACAGTAGGAGCAGATCCACCATCAATGACAGGCTGTTTGATGCTGGGAACCTGCTGGATGCTGTTGACCAGTTAGCCTACGAGCTCATCTGGGATAAGATTCTGAAGGATGGCAGGGAAAACCATCCAGTGTTTGCAAGTTACTTGGAAACCTGCCTTGGCCCCATATTGCAGGAAAACTTCGTCACATGCTAGAAAAGCAAGGCTACGATGCGCTGGACGAACAACAAATTATTTAAACAGGCCAGCAACTGGAAGGGGCAGAAATTGCCAGACTAACTTGACTTGGTGCGCACATTTCGGGACCGTATCAATGGACTATACCAGGATATCAAGAGGTCCCTGTTGGGCATGGGGGATTACATCTTGTGCAAGGAGTTCGGCAAATTTGCTGTGAGACGTGGCTGAAGATGCTTAAAAAAACACAAGTACGCCACTTCTCTTCATCCCTGACGACCACCGAGGAAGGAGCTAGCCTGGTATGCTCCCAGGACGGCCAGAAACTGTCGCAGACACCCAGCCACCATGACAAGAAACCTGGCCAGGTCAAGGGCAAATGTACCACCAAAACCTAACTCTTTCAGCAAAATAGCTGTAGCTATGAACACATTTGTTGTGACAAATAAACACAGGGCTCTTCAACACAAAGCTTTTATTGACATTTGTTTTTAAACAGTAAAATGAGGTGACCAATGCCTGATAGACGCTTTCTAGGTTTTTTTTGGGTGTTTGTTTAGGTATTTCATGGGTTTTCAGGAGTTTTCGTGGGTTTTTAGGGTTTTCGGTTAAGCGCCATACCCTAACTCTGCAGGAGGGTGCCACTAGAGGAAAGTTCTACACTTAACTTTTATTTCCCTCCATACTTCCTATGATTTGCCAGTCTTACTTTTTTCTTGCACTCAGTGATTGTTATTGTGTTAATGTGCTTCTTTACATCTAACACCCCCCCAACCCCCCACCCCCCAAAAAAAACCAACAAAAAAACAAAACAAAAAAAAGAACAAACAAGCAAAAACCAAAACAGGCAGTGTAACTTTCTTTTTGCCATTTTACTTCCTCATGATAAACTATATCCTTGTTCTGATCTGCCCTCATTTTCCACCTCTGCACTTGTGTATTCTGGATTTAGTTGCCTTGGTTGAATATTATTTCACATCCATGGTTTCGTCCAATAAGGTCCAATTGGAGGGTATGTCTGATTCTATCTAATGGATCCAATTTCATTCCAGCTGTTACTTCTATCTGTCTGTCATTTTATTTTTTTCTTTGCTCTAATTAGTCTTTCCTGTGTCGTGTGTTCAGGACTAGCTTTTATGACAAAAACAAAGAAGAAAGTAAAACAGATCTCAAAGAAGAATTCACAAGACAACATTATTGAGATACGGTTTTAAAGTCTATTGTTGTCTGAACAAAACCACTTTGATTAGAAATGTGTAAATTTTAAGCATTTTTATTTTTCATATTGTGAGAAAACTTACGTTGTGACAAGACTTACTGTTTTGAAAATTGTTTTATCATGCACATTTACTTCATATTCATAGAGATGGACTCTTTTATGTGTTGTTTCATTTTCATTATAATGTGATGAACAGTGATGATGTTTTTTTATTTATGCATTTAATTTGATCTTGTCCTCTTCCCTACTTGCCATGTAGTGAATTGAAGCGGCTGAGTGATGACAACCTAGCCCAGCAGCTGGATGAAGTGTTCGATATTATTTGTAAAATAGGCAGGGGGTAAGGAATACCGAGACAGATGGAGACCGTTTGCCTGGCTGCATTTTGATTGGGCTTTCTTTGAGCATACCAGTTTTTACTACTACTCCTTTTATGTGCCACGCATGCTCTACACAGCTTCTTGGTGTTTTGACTTTTTTTTTTTCCCAGCTTCTTTTGGGTGTGAAGTTGCTGCTTGCCCTCTCTTCCTTCATCTGTCAAAATGACTGCATCTCTGCATTTGTGTGTACTTATTTATTGTTGCATTGTGTGTAAACGTTTTCCATTTCTGTGCATGTGTGTGTATGAGTTGAGCTTTCTTTCCTGTTAAAAAGAAGTTACTTTTTTTTTTCACTACTGTGCTTGTAGTGCGTGGGTGCACTGAGTGTTTTGCCAGATGAAATGTTGCTGTCCACTGGTAGTTGTTAAAGAGGCGTGAACTGAAATACCTGAAGGTGTTTAGGGATAACACCCAGCAGACAAGAATCATTTCCAATAAGTTACAAAACACATTGCCACCTCTTTGAGTGGTGATAACTGCATTAAAAATAAAGTAGGGAGTCGCTGAATCATTTTTGTTGTTCTGACTCTTCTCTGGTTTGGACTTTTGTTTAATTTTTGTTCATTCTTGTTGTTGCTTCAGTTGGGCTATTTTGGCTTTGACTGTGGGTGTTTACTTTTCGCTTCTGAAATCGTGTTTGGAAGTGAAAATCCTTCGTTCCCTTTTGTTTGAGTGACAGTTGCTTGTGAAACTTTTGTTGCACGTCATGCAGTCTACAGTTTGATGTTGTGCTCTAGTGCTCTGTCTTTTTTTATTTTTATTTTCTCCGCATTTTCAAAATTGTCCTCCCAAATCCTCTTGAGGCTTGATGTGTGAGTTTTGGCTTACATAGTCAGTGGTGCACTTTTAAATGCCCGGGGTCACTATCTCTTTTAGGGGCTTGTTTGTTTTGAGGTAAGGTGCCTACAGGGACAGAATTCAAAATTAATCCAAACCAAATACTATAGAATGTAGTTGGTCTGAGTACTTAAAAGTACTCATGAAAACACTATGCTTAACTCAGTATGTGAGTGCATGAAGGTTTGGGCTGAAGGACAGAATGTGCCAGTAGGAAAAAATTGCAATGAATAAAAATAGGGAATTTGGTACACGAATTGTTTTTTTTCTAACTGTGGTTGATGTGCTTTGCGTGTAGTTTTTATATTTTGTAAAAACTGCAGTCGCGCAGAAGATTTGACCCTTCTCTAGTCAGTAAGTGCTGCAAGATATTTTCTTCTTGCAAAATCATTTCTGTTGCTCCACAACCTTTTTTAATGGGGTTTTTCTTTTTTATATATAGAAAAGTCCCTGCTACATAAGCCTCATTTTAACTAAATACAAGTTGTACTGTTTCCTTGGCACAGTGCTTGTACTACGTAAGCCATCACCATATCTTATGATTTTTTTTGTTTTTGTTTTTGTTGTTCAATTTCGTTTATACTTTTTTCCCCCCCGGTGGTATTCTTCACTCTTTCTTCTCTTCCCCCGTTGGCTTCATTTGCTTCTGTAGTACTGGACTAACTCGGCTCAGCGAGGAGAGCTTGACACGGCCCCCAGAGGAGGTCTTTGATATTGTGGGCAAGTTAGGAGAAGGGTAAGGAATACTAGATATCCATCGTCCCATCTCCTGCTGCTGAGAATACTACAAATAGTCCTGCTTAGCAAATTATGGAAATGTAAAGACACCGAAGGTGAAGTGCTCGGTTGAGTATGATTTGATTATGAGAGTGGGGGGGTACATGTTTTATTAAAAGAGTGTCATTCTAGATCTGTGCTTTAAAGAAAAGTTTTTTCTAGGCTGTTGCTCAAAGTGTGTATTCTATATGACAGCATTGAGGGTTTGACAGTCTTTAAAAAGTGTCTTCCTGAGTTAATAATAGATTGTATTTTACAGCAAAATTAAATGCATATGGAAAGAGTAAACCCTTCCCACATGTCTTGCCAAAGTCGCAAAATTTTTCCTTTGACTGAGAATAAACTTAAAATAACGGAAACAAATTGAAAGAAGTTAATTCTTTCAAAAATGTTTTGGTCGCTTATTTTGATCATAGTCTTTTGCATTTAATAAGGATTGTTTAACTTTAGTAAAATGGTCAGAAGTCAGGAATTTGAAATAAAGAGAAATACAAAATTATGAAGTCAAGTAATGTGAGCAAATACTGCGTATTATGTGTTTTGTGGTCCATGCCCTGTAAGATATATTTTGCCATTGTTTTATGGTTTGCACTGAATGCCATGTGATGATAGACTTGCATTCTCCGCGCTGCTCCGTCATATAGTAGTAGTGTGTTTGGCATGTGTCATTTGTGTATCTTCTGCATGCTAGTTTTTGCTGTACTGTAGTCTTCATTCGCTTCAGAGCTGGTTCAAGTTTCAGCCTTTTAGATTTAGTTGTTTCCTTTTTTTTTTTTTTAACTTGTAGTCACTAGATTGATTGCTTAAATCTGGTTAATGAGAATTATATTAGTGCCTACTTAATAGTCGCTTTTTAGTATTTCTGTTTTCATAAAATTATTTCGTCAGTTACATTTTATTTCTGGCTAATTCTTTCAATGTGTTTTCTGTTTTCTCCAAATTCTTTCAATCACCCGCTAGGACGATGTTGAGAGTAGACATTAAGAAAAGGGTTATCTTTAAAATGATTTTTGAAGGAACTTTCCAGTTTGTTTTCTTTTTCTGAATTTTTAGGAGATGTAATTTTTGTTTCTAGCTTGGAGCTTGTTTTTATTTGCTTTACGGTGTGTGTTATTGTTCTTATTCTTGAATTTATGCACAAAGATACATCTCACAGAGATTAATAAATGTGTTAAATGAAAGATAGGGAAACATAATTTCACAGTTAAATTTTGGGCTGTTTATTTTGGAACATAATTTTCACATGGCCAGATCTGTATTTTTTTTTCCTTGAATGATTTTTCTGTTGTAATAGAATAGAGTAGTCCTTGGAGCTTTTGACAGAAAGGATTCTCAGTATGTATACTACTGGAGTGGTATAAAACAGCAATGTGGATAAATCAGTTATGTGACAGAAGGACCATTGTGTTGCTGTAACCTTGAGCTGGCCTACTTTTGTTTGTGTGTCTAAGAGAAACAATGCTAGGTTTTCCACAAGATTATTTGTGACTCTGAAGTAAGAGTTGTAGTGAAACCATATCTTGTTAAAAGTCTAGAAGACATAAAATAAAATACATTAGTACTACTATGAACGTTTATGATTTCTATTCCAGATATTAAAAGTAAATTTATTTTCTTAAAAATGGAAAGAGCTATTTTTTTGCTCAAGTTTTTCTCTTAAAAGATATATGTGTTTTCCTTGTAGAAGTGCTACAAAATATGCTGTTCACAGGTTCTGCATTCATTTGTACTAATAGATTTTTCTCTTTCCCTTCTGTCTGTCTGTCTTGTCTTATTTATCTGTCTGTCTATTCATCTGCCTGTCTTTCCCTCCCTCTCCCTCTTTGTTCCCCCCTCTCCCTCTTTATCCCCCCCCTCTCTCTCTCCTCTTTCTCTCCTCTCTCCCTTTCTCTCTCTCTCTCTCTCTCTCTCTCTCTCTCTCTCTGTCTATGTTTCCCCCCCCCCCCCCCCTGCCTCTTTGTTTTCCCTCCCCCCACGGACTTGTGTGAGCACAGATCCTATGGCAGCGTTTACAAAGCCCTCCACAAGGAGTCGGGCCAGGTGCTGGCCATCAAACAGGTGCCGGTGGACACGGACCTGCAGGAGATCATCAAAGAGATCTCCATCATGCAGCAGTGCGACTCGCCCTACATCGTCAAGTACTATGGCAGCTACTTCAAGAACACAGACCTATGGGTGAGTTGTATGTGTAAGCGCTGCGATATCGCGACCCCAGTGCTTTGTAACAAATTGTTTTAGTAGAGGTTTTACGGCGCTCGCAACTGCATAAGGTCATATGAGCGCCAAGACCCCAGTGCTTTTTGTTGTATCTCCATTTTTAATAACAGTGAATACTGTTCATAACAAAGAGTGCGCTTAAGAAGATGTCACATTTTCACTGTGTAAAAAATGGAGAGATTACGACAAGAAAGCAGCGAGGTCACGATATATTGCCATCTTGTGGGTTTGCTACCCCTTTCAACAGAGTGAGGTCTAAAAAAGTGGGACCTCCGAATTGAACATCAATCTCCTGTGAGTATTCTGGCATCTTTTTCAAGGATGCAGGCCCAAGGCTGTGTCATCTGTATGGAGTGGTTGCTCATTTAGAATCTCCTGATTTTTTTGGGTGGGGGGAAGACACACGTTTGTGGCTTTAAAAAAATCAGTTGGCAAAAGTGCAAAAATAAAACCAAGCTTCTCTTTATTCAAATGGAAATAAGCTTTACAATGATTGGAATCACCCAATATTTGGGCCTGCAAAAAAACCCCCAAACAAACAAAAAAGATAGAATTTGCAGATTTCTCTCTATTCTACTGGAAAGAAGTTTTGCAATGATGGCTATACTTGCAGAATGGAATCCAGCAGTGTTGTTTGACCGTCAAAGAGACAGCCACAGAGCAGTAAGCACACAGCACCAGTGTTTTGAAAGCCCCAGGGTATTTAACACTCTTCTCCTCCCCCCCCCCCCCTTCTCTTTTTGTTTCCAGATTGTGATGGAGTATTGTGGGGCGGGCTCTGTGTCAGACATCATGAGATTGCGGAAGAAAACTGTAAGTATGATATCATGATGGCTGACTGAGATACAAAGATAATACTTAATTGTATTGTCCCTGAGGAAAATTTTCAGTTGCTTTATAAGAATGGTAAAAACTTGTTTAGATGTACATGACATTCAATTTAAATTGAGTATTTCTTTTATTAGAAAATTTCAGTGTGAAGAGAAAAATACATGTCGCATCAGATGCATATCTAAAGACCACATGCAGGAATTTATCTCAGATTTAAAAAAATACAAATACACCTACTTTGACAACCAGTTGGCTCTGGTCTTGTATAGAGATTAAGGAGTTTCAGGCCATACTCTACCTGTATAAGAAAATGTTTTGTCGGATAATTTCTGACTAGCCTGCTTTTTACCAAAGTATTAAACAAAGACATTAACAAAGTGATGAATGGAATATATTTGGCTGAAATACTGTAGGTATCTTACAAGGTTTACTAGAGGCAATACTGTAAAACTCCATGATCATGAACTAATGCTACTACTGCATGTACTTCTAATTGGTGACATGTACATGGCATTTCCACTCTGTGAATGCTCAGTGCTGTTTACACTGTAGATTACAGAACAAAGACATGGACTCTAAATATGCATACACACACATTCTTTATGAGTACCTGCAGACCCAAACACTTACATCCTTGCATGGATTTGTGGGTGTGCTGTTATCTACAAGTGATGTTTTACACCCTCTGATAAAGCTCTGTATCAATCTCATCTCTCGACACCAGCGTCTGTGGTGTAGTCGTAAGGCCTTTCCCCACTGCTTTAAGAAGGCATGAGTTTTTACTGATTCTCACGTGGGGAAAGTTAAAAAAACAAAACAATCAGGTATCTGTGTTTGTCTGCTGGGGTGTTGTATTCCACTCAGCTTGGGGCTGCTGTGACAAAGCAGGATGTAAGTATATTTGTGTTGATGGGGACAGAAGACGTAGAGAATGTGACCTGTCCACTGTGGTTGTGATCCTCAGCTGACAGAAGATGAGATTTCCACCATCTTGTACTACACCTTGAAGGGCCTAGAGTACCTGCACTCGCGCCGCAAGATTCACCGCGACATCAAGGCTGGCAACATTCTGCTCAACACAGAGGGTCATGCCAAGTTGGCCGACTTTGGGGTGGCTGGACAGCTTACGGTGAGCACCATGACACGGCTTGTCCCATTTAGGGGTGCTGTTATGTTTTGTGAAAGGTTTGATAATGTGGAGATATGGGTGTTTGGAAGGGGCTGTAGCTGGGACTAATATGATTTACTCACAAACACTTTTCTTTCATACGGAACCGAGATATAGCTTTTTCACTTTCTTCAATGCTAGGTCAGTTATTAATTCACCCCAATGCGCATAAAACTTTTCATGGCGCTCCTGTAGGCTGGCGACCAAACAAAAATGTTTTATTTAAAATCTTGATCTACATGTAGTAATTTAAAAGTAAGAAGATGACCCTCTTTCCCCCATGGGAGGTGGATCAGGGAATGGTGTGAAATAGCAACAAAAATGTTGTTGCAGCAATCTCCTTTTAAACATGCACTTGTGCTTAAATTATAATTTCCTCTCTGAATGGTTTGTGTGGCCTTTGAGGGCAAAATCAGTTTGTTTGAAACAATTGGAGTAATTTTTTTGTATAAAATGTCGAGTAGACCTGGGATGAGTGCTGCTTTACGCAACACCATGATGAGAATTCGAGTGATAAATCTGCTAGATCTAATGTTTTCAGTTCAGATTTTAATTCCTTTTTTGGTAAACATGCGGTCATCAGGTTCAATTTTCTCAATGTGCTGAAAATTTCTTAATGGTTGGGGTATTTTTGCTGAGATGCAGGTATAGTACTGATGTACTCCATCTGCATCCTGGTCCGTGGAGACAAAAGTTGTGTGCTCTGCGCGCTGTGTAGGTGGAAAAGTCTTGAGACATGGTAAAAGTAGAGTATATAATATGCCCACGCACAAAATAACTGCTGTCCCTCTGTTGTTCCTGTGTGTTTGTCTTACTTTTCCTTTGACTCACTGTTACTGTTATTGTTTGGATGTGCTTGTCTTTCCCCAAACAAAACTGTCCTGTACATCCTACACAAATGCCCTGTGTTGTTTTACCAGGACACCATGGCCAAGCGGAACACTGTGATAGGAACTCCGTACTGGATGGCGCCCGAGGTCATACAGGAGATCGGCTACGACTGTGTCGCTGACATCTGGAGTTTAGGTTGGTCCATAGTTTTAAAAAAATTTTAAAGATGTTTTTTCAAATCTATTTCTAAGATTTAAGAAACGAAATATTTGCTTCTGGATCTGTTTGGATTCACAGATTTATTTGTTATTCATGTCTAAAAGTCTTCGTGTTTACTTTTTCTATTTTATTGTCTTGGTCCACTATTTTGTCTTTTAAAGTTTTCGTATTGTTGTATTTTTCCAAAGTTTTTCTTGGTCTTCAACCTTCTTGTATAAAATCAGGTAACATCAAAGGCTTGTAATTTGTATTTCAGGTATCACAGCTTTAGAGATGGCAGAAGGCAAGCCCCCGTATGGTGATATACACCCCATGAGAGTAAGTCTGATATTCCAGCTTTGTGCTTGTTGGGAAGGGCGGAGGTTGAATTCTGAAGTGCCTCACTGAAGAATGAATCATTGGGTTGTTTGGTTGATTGAATCATTGGCTGAATTACTTGTTGACGAGCTTGTACAGACTGTTCAGTGTGTGCTACATTGATTGTAAAAGTATCTTACATTTAGGACTTAACTACTAAATGATCTTCTGTTGAGATCTGTAATATCAGTGAAATGCCTTTGGCAGAATTCTATGTGTCTTTGATAAAGATAGATCAATGTCTGATGATTTCCCTCGGAGAAGAAGTAGTGCTGTCTCATTTTGTGGGAAATAATTTAGACATAGACTGTTTAGTGAACAGTGTTGTCACATTTTTTAACATTGCCTGTTGAGGAGATCATTTTTTAAATAGCGATGCACTGTATTTGATGTGGAAGGTGAAGTATTTTGTCACATTTTCTAACATTTCCTGTTGAGGAGATCATTTTTTAAATAGTGCTGCACTGTATTTGATGTGGAAGGTGAAGCATTTTGTCAGATTTTCTAACATTGCCTGTTATGGAGATAATTTTTGTGATAACGATGTTCTATATTTGATGTGGAAGGTAAAGCATTACAGTTTGACCTTGAAAATAGTTTTACGGTTGTCAGCAGCTGCTCAAGATTAGGCACTGCAAACAAGCATTGTGTGTGAAATGCTGATGTCTCACTTTGTATTATCTTACTTCTCTCTCACAGGCCATATTTATGATCCCAACGAAACCGCCCCCGTCTTTCCGAAAGCCTGATAAGTGGTCAGCCGAGTTCATCGACTTTGTGTCCAAATGCTTGATGAAGAATCCAGAGCACAGAACCACTGCAGCTCAGTTGCTACAAGTAAGTGTTTTGATATCGATCTTCTCCACTTAATAAGTCTGGCTTGAACATGTTTGTATGGCCTGGGGGGGGGGGGGGGGGGGGGGTGCTGCTATTTTAAAATGACCTGTACTGTCACTAATACGTCAAGAAAAATTGTGGTTATTCATGTTGGTGTATGAGTGTCTGTATGTGTGTAAGAGTACCTGTGTGTTTGAGACAAAGAGAGATTTGGAGACTGCATGTGAATGTTGAGACCTGCTGAGTACTCCAATAAATTCAAAGCTCTCAAATTTTTTCCCCACAAAAGGAACCCCCCATTGAATTTGCATAAAATCCTTTTGTCTTCTTGAATTCCGTTTCCATCAAGTCATATGCGACTCGCAGTAAATGATTTGAAAATGCACATTATTATTTGCGTTTATTTGCCCTTCTTTTGCAACTTATTGTAAATGAGTGGAGAATACACATATTGTCTCTTCTGTTTTTAGTCAAGGAGTGGTTGGCAGGTCTACACTCAGGCAGGGGGTGTACTGTAAGAGCCTCACTTCATATCATGTATTATTTTGTTCAGTAACTGTTTGTAGAATAGAAGGTTTGCTTGTTGTTTCTAGCTATCTTTGCACCAGTCTCCTCAACTGAACTTCACCAGTGCCAATATTGTGAGGATGAGGTTCTTTGTTGGTGCTGGTAGATGATGTGAGTTTGATTCTCAAGTGGGAATGTTTTTTAAAAATTGAATAGCTCTGCTTGTCTGCTGTATTGCTTTATTCATCTCAGTTTGGGCTCGGCCTGACAGGCAGGGTTTGAGCAGCCTGCCTCCTAAATGATTTTATTTGTGTTGATGGGGTGCAGATCATCACAGTTTGTTCTCATGCATAATTTTTTTGTTTCCAGCATAACTTCATAAAGAACCGTGAGCCGTGCTCGGTGCTGTACAGCATGCTGCAAGAAGCTAAAGAGATCCAGGAGGCTCAGGCTAGCATATTGGCCAACGGAGAAGAATCGGTTAGTAGGCCTAGGTGGCTAGTAGGCGTCACTTGTAGCTCCTGCTTTTATTTATTTATATATATTTTTTTTTTGGGTCAATCTGCCTCCCTTTTTCCTTGCACTAAATGGCCATTGTTGTGCCGGTGTGCTTCTCTTTACAGTAATAAAAGAAAGAAAAGACCATGTCACTTTGAAAGTAATGGGATAATGTTTTGAGAGTAGTCTAGTGGTGAGATGAAAAGATATTTTAAGATGGATAAGCTAAGATGAGATAATACATCTCCCTGTAGAAAATTTTCTGTGGCTGTACAGGAATGGCAAAAACACATTTTACTGAGAGCAGCAGTCTAGTGGTGAGATAAAGAGATGTTTTACTGAGAATGTTTTGGAATGTTATGAGGTCTGTTTGGGCAATAAACTGTAACGGCTGCCTACTTTCGAGCTTGGGTGTGTCCTTTATAAATGCAGTCTATTACTATTGTTCTTGGTGCTTGGCAGGACTTACCTTGGCTGTAAAGGTCAAGGACAAGGTTCCCGGCTGAAGGAAAATTGTGTCGGGACAGAGACATGAGAAACCTTGACCACATTGTAGACTCAAACCGCAGACTTGAGAGTGGGTCATTGATTATACCATCATGACCAGCTGTATAGATGCTGGTCCTTATCTATCATTGTTATATTATGTATCTTGTTTGAAAAGTGCAAATAAATAAATAAAGTAAGAGCCATGAATAGTTCTGAGTGCACTTTTTACAAATTTGGGAATATTTATCAGTTGACCTTATTTTGACTATTCAAGCTCAAATGAGCACATTCCTTGTATCGTGGGCAAGTTGTTCAACTTTTCTAAGCCTAGAAAACAAAACAAAACTTTTCAGGACAGGAAAAAAAGGTCCTTTCATTCTTTGAAATATTTTACCTACCTTATATATCTTGCTTTTATCAACATTAAGTTTTAAATTTTGTCAGCACATTTCTGTAGCTCATGCACCCAATACCACTTCCTAAAATCGGCAATTACAAAATATAATTTTTTTAAAAGGTCAAAGTTTAGGGCTAAGTACATCTGTGAACAGCTGGCAGATAATATGAGCTATATATCTATCCCAATTAAGCTAACCTCCCTGGCTCTGTCCTATTTGGGATAGCTTAACTCGTATAAACAAACATCCCCATCCCCTGAACCCGGAATGCTTATAAGGTTGCAATTCTATGTCTATAATCTGTCGCATCTGTCAGGGTGAAGACGATGACACGGACGGCACCATGGTGAAGAAAACAGACCAGGAAGGGACGATGAAGGCCCAGGTGGAGGGTACTCTGACCCCAAGCGGCACCGTGGTGGTCAACAGCGAGGCCTCCACGCTACAGTCTGAACTGGGCACCATGGTCATCAACTCCGACTCAGACTCGGAGGACGGCACCATGAAACGTGAGTGAGATCCCTCTCAGCTTTTTGGCTAAGACCAAAGTGTAGTAGTGTCTGTTCCCGATCTCTCGGCCTTGTGTGCCGATTTTGGACAGACACCGCATGAAGCTGATGAGGCTTTAACGGACCTTTATTATCTCTAGTGGATGGTACTCGTCTATAATTTAAAAACAAAACAAAACAGTGCGACACTTGTAGAATGTTCAGTGGAAGCGTGTTCATAGTTGGGGATGGCCGGATGTTCAACCGCCGAGTGTTCAGTGGTAAGGATGGTGGGGCATTCAGTCATGGAATATGAAGACGTAAGTTCCACGACTTTAGGAGAGCAGTGCTTTGGCGGACCTAGTGTCGTGGTTAGACCGATAGGATTTAAAGACATGAATGGGAGTTGTCGCCTCATCCTACAAGTTTCTCTTAACTTATGATTATAAGTGTTCTATGCCCTTATCAATATAATGTAGATTCTTTAGGAGACAGGCTGTCTCGGTCCAGGCTGAGTGGGATACAGTATCCCAGCAGACAGACAGATCAACCTGATAAAATTTACTTCCCTGCTCTGGAATCCAACAACACATGGGTTGGCGAAGAGGCTTAACTGGTGCTCCACAGCTGATGCAGTTATATTTTGTATTTTCTTAATAGAAGAACACCAAGGTTACCTAGAGCATTATGCCAAGTTTAAAAAAGTTTCACCCTTCACTGTTCATCGTGTAATTTATGTGGCCGCTGATCCATTTGAGTGCCCCAGTTTCGCTATTTTTGACATGAAGGTGGAAAAATGAGCATACTCACTTTGGGCTCTCCGGTAATATGTCTTGAATTTTCACTGCTTTACATGTTTTAGCGTAACCTCAATTCAAATGTTCTTCTTCGCAGGTCACAGCACAGCGAGCGGCGGGGAGCAGTATCGCCCCTCCTACCTGGACCATTTCGATAAGCAGGACCAGGAAAAGTCGAAAGCTACCCCCGCTGCACCGGCGGCAGCCAACAACAACAACAATCAGCAGCAATCTCAGGGCCCCAGCCAGCAACAAGTGCAGCAGCAGCCGCAGCCGCAGCAAGCTCCACCCAAGCAGATAACCCCGCCCCATCATTTCCAGCGCTCTTTCATTGATGGAGATTTTGAATTTGTGAGTTGAGGGTACTTTCGGGGAAAGGGCTGGCATGGCATTGCCGCTTGGTTTTTTTGAATGTGAGACAAATAATTTTGAGAACTTGTCAGTAGTTTTAGCGGAGTCAATTGCTATTTATTGAATATCGTTTTTGTTTTTGAAATTTTATCAAATACCATTAATTTACAGAGATACCAAGTGATTATTTTACGGATTTCTTGCATTGTGTAAAAGGTGGATCAATTGCTCTGTTGCCTTGTCTTTGTTTTTATTGATCCACATTTTTCTTTGTAAAATTTTCAAGAAGGAAATTATGTAGGCCTATTATGTATCTTAAGTATTTTTATCTGTATTGAAATTTGACTCATTTCTGACACATGACAAGGGGAGGATTTCAGACTGTCTACTCCAATTAACTATTTGACCCATGTAAGTTTATTAACTCTGAATTACTAGATTGTATGTGGGTTATAAAATGTTTTCTTCTTCTGTTTTCCTACACAGTTACGGACTCTTGCTTTTGAAGACTTGCAGCGGCGACTGACCGACCTTGACCCAGAAATGGAGCGAGAAATTGAGGAGCTGCGAGCTCGTTATCAGGCGAAGAGGCAGCCAATCTTGGAGGCCATTGATGCTAAGAAAAAACGACAACAAAATTTTTGAAATGCTAATCTTGGGCTAGTGGGTCTGGGATTGTGTGTGAGGGGGTAGATAATATATTTGGCTTGAAGAGGATTGGAGGCTACATGTTCTTACTGTAAGGGTTAGAGGCTACATGTAGGCTACATATTCCTCCTATAAGGCTTAGCAGCTACAAGTTCCTGCTGTAAGGGTTTGGGGCTACACGTTTCATCAGCTGTTTTACAATGAGGTGATGTGGTGTTAGATGGATTGTCTGCCTTGTCAATCTGTACATATATACTTGTTGCAGTGATATCTTTGTTTTCACACAACTGAAACTTATTTTGGTTGAATCATGATTTAAGACAAATGCCGTGTGGAGCCAGTACAGCCGGGAAGAAAGATGTGAATTCTCTAGTGCTCTACACAGCTCATGCTTGACTAGTCGAGAATTGAATTGTCCCATTGAAACTTCATCATGAAACCTCGATGCACATACCTCCAGGTTTCAGAAACCTCGCCCGTCATTCCTATCTACCGAATTATCACTGAACTGAACAATGGCTTTATTATTATATGCATTTTTACTCATGCAACTGAAAGTGTCTGCTCAAATAGTGCAATGCATTTATTGTAGAACAGTTTATTAACAGATCATCCATCCTTTGAGCACACTATTGTCATGAAGATAAGAAGCAAAGTTTTCACACCATGCTGTTGAGACAGTTCAATGGACTTGCTTTCAAAAATGTCTTGCTGTATGTCAGAGCACAGTGTCATGTCAGTCTCTGCAGGCCGGGCGGTAGACTTTTGTGTCAGATTTGTACCTCTTGTAATACAGAAATTAGTTGTGTTACGAATTCGTATCATCGCCCGTGCTTTGGAATTCTGAAACAACTTTCTGGAGGAATTATCGTGTGGACAAGCTCTGGGGAACAGAGACTGCAGACATTGGGTTTGAGACATACGTTGATGAGATTTTTAAACGGAATTAATCATGTCATTCTCAGTCACTTTCATGGAATTGTTTTTGTCTTTGAAGTAACTTTTGATATTTTTCATCTATTACCCTAGACACAAATATTGTTCTTGAAATCATACTGGTCATTGTCTTTCTTGTGCTACCCATTTTAGTTCCACTTGTTTTTTTTTCTTCCTTCTCTGATTTATTTTCAATTTGGGGAAAGTGGGAGTTTCTTTTTAGCCTTTGGACAAAATATTTGGTAGCGGGGTACTGCTGTGTATGGTGTCTCTCTCTGCACCACAGATGGGAAGAATGTAGTTGCAGGGGCAGATAGGAGTGAAATTATGAGAGCTGACGTCTCCTGGGTGCAGATAAAAGACTTCTTGACTCATTTAAAACTCTTGCGCGCTTAACGTTTTGTTTGGGCTAGTATTTAACGATTTTTGTTAACTGTTGAAGCCATCTGTAGTGCTGGGTGAAGGGGCAGAATTTGTCACAAGATATTTGCATTAGTTTTCAGAAGAATGGAAGGTCTCAGACCTTTAATGTTACGAGAATACAGGTACAAAGTGAAAAATATGGTGGGATAGTTAAAAACTTGGTATTAGCTTGGATGGTGATGATTGTCAGTGAAAATTGTACTTCCTTTTTTTGCATTTTCTTTTTCTTGTATATGATTTTAAAAAAATATTTTGGGAAAGGTTTTTGTTTAAAAAAAATAATTTTAATAAATATTCCTTTTTTTTTTTCTGTCTTTAATTTTGAGTCCACGTTTCTCATTGAGAGACTCCATGTTTTTGATGGTTGACAACATAATACTGTATAGTTGTAGCTGTAATAATGATGGTAGTGTGTGCTGTGTTGTTGTATGGACATGTCTTTTATGTTTGGAGTCTTCCAGCCTTGGGCACAGCCCTTTAGCACAAAGTAAGTGAATGAATCTGACCTGAGCTTTTCTCTCATACACTGGTGGTGTGGGGGACAAAGTTACCTTGTCTTGGTCTCTACAGAGAATATAACCCAGTGCTTTTTTCGGCTCCTGATCACGGAATTTGAAAATTAAATTAAAATCAAAAGATTTGTACGACTGTAGCTATCGAGACACACAATGCAGTAAGTTGATCAAACAACTTCATGCCTTGGTTCTGTATCTCTGTCAAATTTTACCTGCCACCCACAGGAGAAAGGTTTTTATCATAGGTGTAACCAGGTACCTGCCGATTCCCGACACATTATGTTTTAATGCTGCTATCTTGTATTGTCTATCGTTGACCATAATGTTTGTGACAACTTTCCGGTGAATCTTTTTTCTGTGCCAGCATAGTTGAGATTCTCAATCAAGATAGGCGAGTGCCGACTGCTGGTCACATGTTACAACCATCAGTGAAGTAAGGATGTTTCTTTTTTGTCAGTGGGAATTAATTTTATTTACCTCTCTTTTTGGATTAACTAGTTGTTTTTTTATTGAAAAAAAAAAAAGATGTTTTATTACCGCTGTTTTCGGATTAACGGTGGTCTGTTTAAGTTTAAGTGGACTATGCTGTGTGTGAATTCAGAACTGCAGGGAAATATGTTGAAAAGCCAGTGAAGCCATGTATGTGTTTATTGTCTCTCTGGCAGAACAGGTACACGGGCGTAGATATATATATATTGATACATTGATTTAGAATGATGGGCCGAGGCATTTTTGAACAATTCTGGTCATGTATGATAAATACCTCTGGACTTGAACACTGTGTTCCCGATGCTGTCACTGTAGGTAGGTGTGTGATTGTCACCAGTGTGTGTGTGTGTGTGTGTGTGCTAGCATTGTGTCAGGCAGGTGTGTTTCTCTTGGGACGGCAGAGTAGTGCATTGTGTTGAAGGTTGTTTGTCGTTCTTCATTCTATAGAAACTTGGGGGGGGGGGGGGGGATTTCTGTTTGTCAGGCTGCCAAAGCCTGCTACTAGAAAGGACGTAAAACTTCCGTTGTTGAAGCTGCGTGCTCCAACTTGCTGCCTTCTGATGCTTTGTCCATTTATTTGTGTGTAGACATCTAAGAACGTTGGCTGACAGATCTTGTTGTACTTGTACACTTTGCACATGGCTCTGGCATTTTTCTTTTTCTTTAGGAATTAAAAAAATAGGAAAGTATGGTCTGTGCTGACTGTATTATAAGGAAGTAAACATTTACAGAGTGGACAGCAATGGTATGTATTAATATTCTTCGCATGTTAATGAATTTCCAAATGTTTCTATTTATGAATTGTGTTGTACAGTTTGTGTGGGAATTGACAGTGATAATCTGATGGGTAAACAAGCAAGGCAGAGGTAGACCAAGAGAAACTTTTGTGTAAAACCTGAACAGATGGGTGACCAGGAAACGCCAGGATGATATATAGGATTTGTTTGAGAGCGTCTGAATGGGGAACCATGATTGCCGATGTTTGTTCTATACTTGGCACTTCATGATGATGAATCTGATGTGCCTGATGTTGATGACTGGAGACCAAGAAAGAGGGAATTTCGTGTTTCTCTTTTTTTTTCTCTCCTAGGGATCGTTGTCGCATTCTAAGCGAATTTTTCTGCAATTTCTGTAACTGGTTTCTCATATCCTTCCAACTGTTCTCTCTCCCTCAAGGGTTTTTGCTTGCAATTCTTTTTTCTATGGATAGATTTGATAAAGTCTATTTCTGTGGATAGATTTTATAAACTCTATTTCTATGGATAGATTTCATGAATCATTTTTCTGAAATATACTTTATTGTTTGCTTGATTGTCGTAACTGTCTGGGTCAAAGAATTCTGTCTGAGTTTTTTTCTTTCCCCTTTACTCCTTTTTTTTCTTTCCCCTTTACTCCTTTTTTTTCTGTTTTTTATTTCTACTTTTGTAATTTTTTTGATGGCTGTAGGTCACAATAACATAATGATCTGATGAGTGAGGAGTGTGGAGGTGTGTGAGAGTTGGGAGTGCTCTCTCTCTCTCTCTCTCTCTCACTCAGGAACTAGGGACCTCCATGAGAAAGAATGATTGCTGTAATTCAATTAATTTTTTAATTTTTGTTTGGTAAGGTGAGAAAAATGTGAAGTCTGTTCGAGATGGGATCAAGTGGACAAATGGAATTATTGGATGGAGAGAATGTGAAAGGAACACATGGGGCTGTAATTATAAATAATTTAAATCTGTCTTTGCACATGTCATGTGGATGAGTTGATGGCTGGCGTGATGTCACTAGAATGTCGTTACCGAGACCAAGGTTAGTGTTACCGCCAAGATGCCTCTCTTTTGTTTTATGATTACAGTCCTTTGAGTTTTCCTACTTCCCGTCTACCTGCGCTGATTGTCCAGTAAGAAATGCATTTAGTTGTGTTTTAATCTCTTCTTCTCTTTTTGTTTTTCTCTTTATTGTATAGATTTAGTTTTTAATCATGTGTACCAAAACAGGGTTTGTGTGATAACCAGTTACCCATAGTTACATATTATATACATGTGTATGATATGCATATATTGTGCATGTGTACTCATTTATATATATTATCTTTATGTAATTGCATTTGGGTTCATCTTCATCAACACCCCACCCTCCCCCCTCCCCCAGGTATGCAGTGAATTTGACGTGCTTATCTGTATGGAGCATGATGTACACATTCGGTAATTTAAACATCTCACTAGTGTCGAGTAACAGTGTCCAAGCCAATCAAGCCAATGGCATCTCTCTTCTTAGTCTGTCAATAGTCGTGCAACGAACATGGTTTAAAAAAAAAAGAAGACTATTGTTGTTTCTTATTGCGTGCGACCCACGATCGTCTGTTTGAAATTTCTATTGTTATTCGGTACATGCCTTGTATAAGAAGCAGACTGTTTTCTTCTGTTAGTGTGCAGCCATCAGTATTATTATCATACGTAATTCTTTTCGCTTTAATGGAAGTCTTATATTTTCCTTGCGTCAAATATTTCACCGGAACTGTTAAGATTTTAGGAGAGAGATGTGAAGCCCCCAAGTTTTGAAAGGCTTCTGGTAATAATGTAAGCAGGCGACATCAGTTGTGAATGATGTTATTCTTTTCATTCAATCATTATGTGAACATTGCGTGGAACATTTCTCAATTTCTGGCATAGCTGTTGGTGTACGAGCGCGAGAGAGAAAAAGAGAGAGAGATGTGGTCTATTGTTGTTTGACTGTGTGCTCAGAGATGTCCTCTGCCCTCTCAAGTGGGAGCTAAGATTGCATGCAGTTCTTGTGTGATGTAACTTATATAAAAGGGAGTGCTTATTTGGGCCCCCCCCCTCCCCCAACCTTATTTGGGTTACCCTTGCATGGCGATGATAATTGATCTCTAGAATTGAAGAGTTAGTTTTATTTTGAGTATCTTTGTTTTTCAGTGTAGGTTTATCCCTGTGCTCAAAAACAGTATACCACTACCAGTGTATAGATTATAGACTATAATTTAGTATAACACAGATGTTTTGGAAAAAAAAGGCTGGCGATCTCCGCTTTTTGCCCCATGCGTACTGGAACAACGATAATAACTTTATATTGGTTATGGTTAGGATTATGAATTATAGTATAGTAAACGTTGGGGCCAAAAGTGGATTATCAATATATCACAAAAGACTAAATGCTTGTTAATTTCAGTAAAATGGATGATCAATCCTCTGATCTATGTGATTTTTTAAATCCTCTTGGATCTATGTGATTCTACATTCTACTCAATGATAGTGTCATTCAGAGGCCAAGACAAGGCAAACTAGATCTAGATTACAGACACAGAGTAGAGTTGCAAACTATATAAGGTACAGAGGGGATGAATGTTTGATTATGTAGGCGAGGGTAGCCCAAATGAGCTTATCCAAAGTTTCCTGTGGGTAGTGACTTTATTTGGACTACATATAGCTCTATTAATAAAGGGAGTTCCTGTTTGGGCTACACATAGCCCAAATAAGGTCACCCAACTTATAATGCCAGCTTATTTGAGCTGACACTCTAGAAAATACAACCCAGGTGAATGAAAATGATGAAAAGTTTAAAAAATAAAAAGCCTGTGGGAAAATAAATATTCTACCTGTACACCCCAATCATTTAATTGTGTTCAAGTTGACTGATGATGATTAATAACAATATGATTGTACAAACCATTGGTTGAAATAAACTTAGAACAGAGAAAGACTCATGGGTGTGTTGCTTGTTTCTTTAATAAACTGATTGTTGTTTGAAATGGAGAATGCAGAACATTACTTGCCCTACACAAAGCTGGAGTAAACTACAACAGTAATATTATCATAGATTTAAGGTAAATAAGCTGAATTCAGCATGTCTTGGGGGGGGGGGGGATGTGGCCTTGAGGTTCTATGTTTGCCTCTCATGCCAAAGATACCAGGTTTGAATGCAGTCTGTGCCAGGATGTCAAATTTCTCACTGTTGTTTGGCGGGTGCTGTGGTATGGTTTGCTCCTTTTATATATCAAACATCTATCATACCTGATCCTCCTTTTTTGTGTTTGTTACTTTCTTGTAACACTCCTATTCTGTGGTACTTATACTTATATGACTACGTGGGCAGTATTGCATACAGACTTACTGCTTACTTAATTGTGTTGCAAATGCCATTACACTATTACTAAAACTAAAACATGGCTACCGGTACTTCACATTGCCTGAGACTCAGACACAGAAGGGCCAGCAACATGTTACAATATAACCCTATCCGTGGGCTGGACAGAAGACAAATGAAAAAAAATAGCAACAAACGGCTCACGGTCATTCTTAATCAACTTATGAACCAGTAAGATTAGTAAGAATGCACGATTCTTCAATCTTATGAGATTATCACAGACAATTCTCATTTATACCTTAGGAGTAAAAGAAGTGAATACCAGTGTAACCCACTCCTGTTCAATAGTAAGGTGCTTGTGCCAGTAGACTGGTTTAAAAATGATACATTTTTGTAATCATCCATGGTTGCAAAACTGCCCCCCCTCCCCCCCACCCCCCAAAAAAACAAACCAAAAAAAAACGGAGGAAAGAAAAATAAAGTTTCGTTCCACAAAATTAAATAATAATATTACGATAAAAACTTTTTTCCACTAAAGGTTCTCAGAATATGCACATTTCAATGAGCATAGTTTTGTGATAAGAAGAAAAGACTTCCTTTTTTAAATAAAGAAGTAGGACCTACCCAGTTGCATCCTCCAACCAACTGCATGCCTGTTGGCAGCTCCCTTTATTTATGGATAATAAATGTAATAAAGTATTACAATTAATCTTGAGGGAGAATACTGCTACACAGAGAGAGTAGAGAACAACACAAGAAATTGGTAGGAATATTGACGCACAGAGAGTAGAGAACATAAGACACTGAAGAATGTTGACACCCAGAGAGTAGGCCTACCGGGAAGAGAACACAAGAAACTGATAGAAATATTGACACACAGAGAGTAGAGAACACAAGAAATTGGTAGGAATATTGACACAGAGTAGAGAACACCACAAGAAAGTGGTCATTGGTAGGAATATTGACACACAGAGAGTAGAGAACACAACACACTGAGAAATATTGACACACAAAAAGGGATGGTTAGTTTTCTTCATCTTGATCATGATCAGTCCTGCGTAAGACGGCCACCTGTTATACAGCCACTTTTCTCCTTGACAAATGGTGGCCTGTCTTATACTGGTTCAACAGTAAAGAATTTATTCAACAACTTCTAGCTGACTTTTAGTATCAGTAGTAGGCTAAAACAGCACCTGGACATGGATGGCTGGTGCCTCTATAAATAAATCATTGACGGTCAGTATCAGTAGTGCAATGATGTTCTTTATTATAGATGTGGGTGAATGCATAATAAGACACGAGTTCGATACCCGAGGGAAGAATTTTTTTTTTTTTTGACGAGTATTTTTCTCTGTCCCCTGAAATTGCTGCATTTGACTCAGCCTCTGTTGGTTCTGACTGTCCGGGTTAAAGCACTTTAATGATCTAAACAGCGTCTATGGTAATAAAATGTTTTATAAACTTTGCTTGGACATCTTATGGCCAAGAGGGAATGCACTGAACAGAGTTGAATAATTAGTCTTACAACTCGCAGTCGATGTGGCTAATTGTGACACTTTTAAAAAGGCCCAGAGGGTTCGAGTTCCTACCAACCATTTCAACGAGTCAATCCTACTGACCACTTCACTGAATAGTTTCCATTGACTTTGACCATTTCATCGAGTCATTCCCACTGACCATTTCACCGAGTCATTCCCACTGATCATTTCACAGAGTCCTTCCCACTGATCATTTCAGAGTCCTTCCCACTGACCATTTCACCCAGTCCTTCCCACTGACCATTTCACAGAGTCAACCCCACTGACCACTTCATAAAATAAAATTTTTTGTTGGTAGGTGTTTTACTGCGCTCACAACTGCATAGGGTCATATGAGCTCGCGGGACACATTAAAGTTAAACATTTTCAGTAGGTAGGAAATTTTGAATATTGCCTGGGTGGCGGCTGAAGCCTACTCTTATCGATTTTAGACCACCAAGGGATCTTTAACGAGCGCAACTTGCACACAGGACCTCCGAGATTTTTTGCCCTTGTCTGAGAAGGCTCGGTGTAAATCTTTCCTACCAGAAGATCAGGGGTGTGGCTGAAAGACAGCAGTCAGAAGGAGCCAAGGAGTAGCAGTAGAAGGCTGCAGAAAGAGTCAGGAGCCCAGAGGAGGGGGCAAAGGAGGAGAGGGGGTGGGGGCAGAAAGTGGAGACGAAAGCAGACAACAGAACATGGCTAGAGAGCAGGAAAGCAGATGAAAGAAGACAATTTTAGAGAAGAAAATTTTTCCATCACTATCCGGATTCGAACCAGGGACCTTTGAATGAAAGGCGAGCCTCTTAACCTCTAGGCCATGAGAGCCCCCGACCGCTTCATTGAGTCATTGAATTATTCCCAATGACCACTTTATTGAGTCATTTCCCGTTTTTGTACATACTGAGTTCAGTCTTTCTTTTTGTACTTTTATCAAGACAATAATCTAAAAAGGAAAACACAATAGAACAGAAATGATGTGTGACTGAGAGCCATACCATGATATATTTTTCAGAGCTCCTTCCAACATGTACACAGAATTGTAACAGTCATCACATGAATAATTTAATGGCACACTTGCAGTGTAGACAAAAACACATGTACTTGATGTAAACACAATCCAATGATACTGTTATCATCACTCAACCAGATTTAAAAATGTCAATTTCACAGACACATTCTCAGAGTAGTCACACATGTAGTGGTTCTCCTAGAAAACCTTCAGCTGTCATTTCGCACTAGCTCACTGGTCTATTTTGATTTCTTTGTAAAATTATGTCTTTCATCAACATAATGTACATGTGAAAATACCATCCTTTACTTTACCACGTTCATAACACATTCATTCTTGGCCCATACAGAACTATAATCAAGTATGTCATAGCACCAACTCTCTCTCCTTTTCACATCCAAACTCATCCTCCTTTTTCTCCCTTCCAACCTCTCCCCCTTCCACTCTGTCTGTCTGTTGATCCCTCTCTCTCTGTCTCTCTCTCACGTGTATGACCTGCATATTGCAAGCACGTGGTCTGGCCCACACGAGAACTGAGCAGTCTCAGCCGGCAAGGCAATCTGTGGGGAAAGGAAATAAAACAGCACTTAGTTTTTTTTAGTTTTAGTAAGTGTTTTACGGCACTTGCAACACAATAAGGTCATATAAGTGCCGAAGATTAGAGGTGTTACAAGAGAGTAACAAACATAAAAAAGAAGAAGTAGAGATAAAGACGATAGATGTTTGATAGGAAAGAAGAAGCAAACCACACCAGAGCACCCGCCAACCACCACTTCAGCACCTAGTGTTAGTTAATAACTGCTCTTATAATAACTGCAACAGAAAACAAAATTGCCACAGAGTGGCACAGAACTAACAATGCTTTTTTTGTTTGAAGCAGGTAGCATTATGTCACTCACTCCAGGCTGCAGATGAATATTTCTACCCCCCCCCCTCCCTCCCCCCCCCCCCCCCCCTTAAAAAATAAGAGGCAGCAAACAAACAAAAAAGGACAACCTCAAAATAAAAACCAATAAAAGTGAAGAAAACAGACACAGTGAACACACCCTGGAAGTGAAGTATTCTAAATTAGACTATTGTAACTCACTCCTAGCAGGTCTGAACAACAAATATTTGAATCGTTTACAAGTAATTCAAAACAATGCCGCTAGACTGATAACAAGATCTAAAAAACGAGACCATGTCACTCCATTATTAAAAGAACTGCATTGGCTCCCTGTAAAAGAACGAATAATATTTAAAATCTGCGTCATGTGTTTCAAATGTGTAAATAAAACTGCTCCTTTTTATCTGCAAGAACTTATCAGTATATATAAACCAGGGAGAAACCTAAGATCATCGAACGATAACACCCTACTTGTGACACCTGTAAAATCATACAAATCATATGGAGAGAGATCTTTCTCATATCTTGGTCCATTTATGTGGAACAGATTACCCATGAAACTAAGACAAATAAGAACACTTGATAGCTTCAAAAGACATCTTAAACATTTTCTGTTCCTACAGGCCTATCCTTCATAAGCTTTTAACGTTAGCTTTCATTATATTTGTTCTTTTCCTATGTCTGGATGAAAATAGTCTCTGTGTGTGTGTGTGTGTGTGTGTGTGTGTGTGTGTGTGTGTGTGTGTGTGTGTATGTGTGTGTGTGTGTGTGCATTAATGTATATTGCGTGAGAAGAAAGGAAGTAGTAAGAAAGGTTTTTGAAAAATGGGTATTCCAATGTAAAGCGCATTGAGCTACTTTTTTTGGAAATGCGCTCTATAAATGTTATATATTATTATTTATTATTATTAAAGAATATTAATATCAGACGGAAAAACGAAAAGAGAAATCGAAATGTGCGAGTACAAAAGTCTTGCATTTTTTACAATTTATATCATTTAGGAGGTGGGGTTTCCGACCCTGTGTCTATCAGGGCCAATCTGGGCATTATCATTAACATTATCATTATAATTATCAATCAAAAGCCGCCAAAAATGACTTACTTCTGTATGCAATACTGCCTGCGAGAAGTAAGACGGAGATACAAAAAAAAAATCTTTCCACTCAGGAATTGAACTCGGCCTCCTGCATTCGACAGCAAAGGGCTTAGGCATAACTGCTACACCACAGACATCTACATTCATGTATTTGTTGTAGCTGTAGTGAACGCGCCGTGGCAGTGTTCATATCAAGTACTTGCTGAAGAGAAAAGGTAGATAAAGAGAATGAAGAAAACAGTGCACCCATCCCATATATAGGCTACCCACGAAGAGCCTGAGATGCAATATTAAAAGAGTCAGAAAGAATGAAGAAAAATGTGCTGTGACACAGAAAGAGAGCCAGACAAGATAAGAGATAAAGAGAGCCAGACAAAGATAAGAGAGAGAAAGAGAGGTGGACAAAGATAAGAGAGAGAGAGCTAGAAAAAAGATAAGAGAGAAAGCTAGACAAAGATAAAAGAGAGAGAGAGAGAGAGAGAGAGAAAGAGAGAAAGAAAAAGAGAGAGAGAGAGAGATAGAGGCAAAACAAAGAGTGACTGGGAAAGGAAACGGGGAAACCGAGAGAAAAAGAGAGAGAGGGTGTCAGAACAAAAGACAGAAAGGCTTCTCCACTCACCCTCCAGGGAAAGTACTGGTTTTTGTCCTGGCCCAGGCCCAGACTGCCTTGATTATTGCGTCCCCAGCTGTACAGGTCTCCGCGGTCTGGAGGAACAGACACACAGATAGAACATGGGTATTTTTTAGGTAAGAGTTTTACAGCACTAGCAACACAATAAGGTCATATATGAGCTGAAGATTTGAGATGTCACAAGCGAGTAACAAACACAAAATAGAAGGAGGGGAGATAAAGGCGATAGAAGTTTTACACAC